ACAGACAAGACGGGGCGCCCAAGGCCCTGCCGCTCCCGCCACCCGCTTTCTGGAGACCTTGGCCCTGAGCTCTGGGGGGTGGGGGCGGAGGCGGGGGCTGGGAGTGGAGTAGAGACTCCAGCCCGAGGGCAGCAGAGGGATCCGGGCTTCCGGGCGAGGGAGGGCGGCGGGGCGCGAGCGCACAGCGCGCGGGTGAGATGTGGTCTATATTAGAGTATCTATATAAATATATATTTCCCAGTTCCTGTCCCTTTTCCCTGACCCCGCCCACCCTGCGTCTAGGATTGTAACCTCTTCCCCAGCTCAGTCCCAGTCCTTTCCCAAGTCCCTAGTGCATGGAATAAAGTGGTTGGTTATTAAATCCCCGTGTGTCCCAGAGCCAGGGGCCTGCCTTTATGTCGGCGTTCACGCCCACTTTCCCTTCCCTCTGTCTCCTACCCCTAGTCCAGCTCTCCATGGCCCAAGCCCCGGGGCAGACAGGTAAGTAAAGAGAGCAGAAGCGGAGACTAAAGTTAGGTCTGAAACCAAGTGGGAAGCACAGAGATAGGGTAAGGGAGAAGGGATGAAGATATAGAGCCCTTAAGAAAAGCCAGATAAAAAGAAAAAAAAAAAAAAGTTACTGAAATAAAATCGACTCTGGTGGGATTCGAACCCACAACCTTTGAATCACTCATTTCTTGTCTCTAGAAGTCCAATGCGCTATCCATTGCGCCACAGAGCCACCTGGTGGGTAGTGGTATCGCACAGCTTACGGTTACTAGCATGGGGATGGGGCAGGGTAGTTGGAAATTGGGCTTGGCGTGCCAGGAGCGCGAGGTTCGGCTCTCCGAGGCCAGAAAGGACGAGTGATTGATTGCCCGCCCAAAGCACGTGAGCCAGGTGGGAGTGAGGGCGCAGAAGGGTGCGGGAAACAGGGAGGGAGAGCAAACAAGAGAGAGCGAGCGAGAGTGCAAAGCTCCCGCTGTCCGCTTGGGGAGTGCTTCCAGCTCAGGAGCACTGCACTCCCTGATGTGGCCCCAGCAAATAAACTTGTTTTGTTGTAAATTTCTGTGAGTCTGTTTTCTCCGGGTTATCTTTTTCTGCCATGCGGCCAGGGTTTAGATGGTTCTCCCGTCCTAATTTGAGGAACATGGACAAAATCAATTTAACTTTGTCTTTGCCTCAATTCCTGCCTTTCTACTCTCTTAGGAAGATAACGGGGATCCTACATCTTCACGCAGGTAGCGTGGCCGAGCGGTCTAAGGCGCTGGATTTAGGCTCCAGTCTCTTCGGAGGCGTGGGTTCGAATCCCACCGCTGCCAGGCCATAATTTTTCTCCATTTTATCAGGCTAGGAGCAGTTGTAAAGTCCACTTTCTTCTTAGTCTTCCAGACAGAAGACTGATTTCTGCATCTGTATTCCAAAGCAAGATGTGACGGAAACTGACGAAATAACCTGTACTTGTTCGTAACTCATCTTCATTTTAACATGTTCAAATATAACATTTCAGTATCACAATTAGTACAATTTCCAATATATATAAATGATTTTCTATAGTTTCTCCTTGATTTGTTACGGAGATGTCAATTACCTAGCATGAAAGAACAAGCTTCTAACTTGCTTTTGGCTTGAGAACTTCTCCGGTAGAAGGAGCATGCCACACACAAAGCAACAAATACAGTGGACTCTCAGGTTACCCCCGGCCTGACATACTTGGGTTAACTAGGTTAATAGAAGGTTCATCTGTCTCTTGTTATCGATAACGTGTGTCCTAGGTAAATAACCAGATCTCAGGTGTACTAATGTAATTATAACTAACCTTGGAAAATCGATCGCGTCCGTAAATCAAGGTTCCATTGTAATATATTTTATTACTAGTGAAGCTCAAAAGGAAAGGTTCCACCGAGATTTGAACTCGGATCGCTGGATTCAGAGTCCAGAGTGCTAACCATTACACCATGGAACCACTACCTATGGGTGTTGCCTGAGATTTTATATACTTCTTAACATTTTGCCCGTCTCCCCAACCTCAGCCAAAATAATATTACAGATGCTGAATATAGCAGACATCACTCCTGAGCACCTGAAATATGAATTACTATAGACTGTCAGCTGCCTAAGGTTGAAGGCTATATGAAAAAAGACAAAATTTCATTAACATTAAATATTGATTACAATAACTTGTAATAATAACTTTGGAATATTTGGTTAAGTAAAATATATTATTAAAGTTAATTTCTCTGAATTTTTCAAACTCTTTTTGATGCAGCTCCTACAAAGTTAACATTCACATATTTAGTTTGCATACATACTGCTCTAAAACGTCTCTTTATTATTCTAAATGAAGCCAGGCACAGAAAGACAAACTGTATGATCTCATTTATTTGTGGAATTTAAAGCAATCAAATTCACAGAAGGGGAGAGTGGATGGATGTGGTGATGATGACTGTCAGAGAGTACAAAGCTTCAGGTGGAAAGGAGGAATAATGTTTTAATATTTATTACACATCATAGTGACCATAGTTAATAATTATATATTATATATTTCTAAATTGCTGACAGTAAATTTCAAATGTTCTCGCAAAAAAGATTCTGAGTTGGTAAATGTTAGTTTGATTTGGTCAGTCCACATTGTAGATATAACATTGTACCTTATATACAATAATAATTTGTTGATTTACAATGCAAAATTAATAAATAAACCAAGATCATAATGTTTAAAAAATACTTTTCCTTCACTTTCGTTAGTTACTTCAGACATTAAATTATTGACTCAAGACAATTTTCTTTCTTAAAAAAGTAACCAATTTTTGTTATTCATTTTCCTTGCATTGTTTGAAGTAGCCCTGTCCAAAACACCACACTAGATCTTAGGAGGGAGGAAAAAGTAGACGCCCGAACAGGGACTTGAACCCTGGACCCTCAGATTAAAAGTCTGATGCTCTACCGACTGAGCTATCCGGGCTCTACGTGGTCGGCTCTTACTTTGCCTTAAAAGAAGAGTTCTCCATAGACAAACGGGCAGCCTCGCAGACGTATAAATAAGTGTGTATCTGGGAAGAGGATCGCAGACTCTGAAAGAGTGCGAGTAACTCCGGCGCAGCTGATTATGTTTTCCCCACTTCCCTGCCTCAGATTCCCGCACGGACGCGGACGCAGCAAGGAGAGAGGAGCGGAGGCTGGATCAACACCTTGCGGTGTCGGGACTGGCCGCGCGGGGTCGCTGCGGACTTCTGTCTTCCCACTAAGGGCAGCTATTCCCTGGCTGCTGTAACCCAAATCCCAGACCCTTGGCCACCGAGGCTCTCTCCCACAGAACTGCCTGCGGAAGGCAGACCTGGAATGCAAAAGAATGCTTCATGGGGCCTCTACACCCTTTGTGCCCAGGACTCCACTGGTTTCTGGACCAGCCCTATTACAAGGGAGAGCCTGCGGTCCCTTGTGCCAAAGGATGAGGACAGACACTGAGCATGGAGAGGGGATGGATGTGTAGGTTGGTAGGGAAGCTGTTCCTGACGCTCCTGTCACGCGCCGAGGTGTGTGTATGGCTCTCCTGTATGTGGCTGCAGTCACCTGTGATGTATGACTGAGTGCGCCTCATCTGTACATAGTGAGTCACACATGGGTGACACATGTAGGACAGTTCTGGCGGGAGACTGGAGGAAGGGTCTTGGGGAAAACTGGGGAGTGGGTGGAAAAGGGTCCTAGAGCTTTAGTCGAGTTCGTGACTAGGCAGAGGGCAGTGTCGCAATCATATAGGCATCACCTCCTCCCTGCTTCCATTTCAGTATTTGGTCCCTCTCCGTCCCCAGGGAACCCAGATTTCAGATATTTATCTGGTGAGTCAGCCGAGGGACCGGCTGTGCCAGAGGCACACAAACAAGTGTAGGGGTGCAAGACTGGGCGGGGAGAATGAACCAGAGCAGCCCGTCCAGCGCTTCTGAGAGAGAGAGAACCTAGGAGCATCCTAGAGACAGCTGCGTCCTTCCTCAGTCCTACCTTTCCCCAGCCCCCTCGCACCCACCCTGTTTGGGTGTCACTCACCTTCTCCAGGCCTGCGTTGCTGGGCACCGGTCCTCCCCTCCCATCATGGCAGTGTACCGCCTGTGTGTGACCACTGGTCCCTACCTGAAGGCCGGCACACTGGACAACATCTCTGCCACACTCGTGGGCACGTGTGGTGAGAGCCCCAAGCAGCGGCTGGATCGAGTAGGCAGGGACTTCACCCCTGGATCGGTGAGTATAAAGGACAGATGTACGAACTCTGAGGAGAAGAACTCATAGGGGACCCTGAAGGAGGGGAGGATCTTTCCTGCCTAATTCATCAAACCTTGCTAAACCGGGATGCTCACATTGGCCTGATCACCATTCCTTTTGTGTTCTCTGCCTTTTCTGGGCTCACAAACCTACCCAGATGGGGCCGTGAAGAGGAAGGAGCACTGGGCAGGGATCCCAGACTTCCTTTGGCTTCCTGGCTTCTCCCATAATTGACCGGCTTTCAGCCAGTCCCTTGAGGTGGCAGCCTGGCTTTCCTCTGGGATGGGGTCTGGGGGAACCTGTCCACCTTCCTCAACAGTGCAGCTGTTTTTTGGTGGCTATGCAAGGGAGCCCTGCTGGCCATGGTGGCTAGGGAAATCCAGAGGCACTCTGCTCACACACCACCAGGGATCCTGCTTTCTCTTGGATGGAGGGCTGTCTTTTTCTCTTTCCATACAAAGGCACTGCATGGGTCAGCATAGTTGGAGGTGTCCTGCACCTGGCAAGGTGCAAGGATGATCTTGGTAGTTCCCTGCCTCTCACTTGCTTGTTCCATTGGTTGCCTCAGGTGCAGAAGTACAAGGTGCGCTGCTCAGCAGATCTGGGTGAGCTCTTGCTGCTGCGTCTACACAAGGAGCGCTTCGCTTTCTTCCGCAAGGACTCTTGGTACTGCAGCAACATCACTGTCATTGCCCCAGATGGCACTGTCATCCCCTTTCCCTGCTATCAGTGGATTGAGGGCTACTGCACTATGGAGCTGCGTCCAGGAACAGGTGGGCCAGAGGAGAAAGATGCACTGTACTGTGGAAGTCTCTTGGGATTAGAGATGGGGTGTTCCAGAGCTCACCTGGAGGGAATAGGGTTGGCTTTAGGGACAGTAAAGTAGATACATTACAAAAGTTAGTCAGTAAAGCCCTGGAGTACAAGGACTTTCTGGGCAGTATTTGCTCCTTCAGAGGCACACAAAGACATGGCATATTTGCATGCTTGTGTAAACATACACTCACATACAACAAGCAGTCTGCTTTCCACAGACTTCCTCTGCACTTTCTCAGAGAGCTCCTCTGGAGCCCAGGGAGAAATTAACCTGCAAACTAATGAGACCTCAGTAGAATTCCTCAGTGTTTGGAGAATTTAGTTGGAGAGGTCCTGTACCTTTTTCTGGCTTTGCTAGCATGAAGTCCCTTGAGGGTTAGGGTTAGGGACCCTTGTTGAATTTGTGGGGAATTTCTAGGATGCTGGTCTTCAATGCCATCTGCCTCCAGATCTGTCTGGCCCATGGAGGCGACATTAGGGTTGCTCTGTGCATTGAGATGAGTCTCATGGAAGAGAAATGAACATTCTAGGTCAAAGTGAGGCATGTGAGCATTATCCCATGGCCCATAGTGAGCTCTACAATGACTTCACTGTAAAACCCCATCTGTCATCATAATACATCCAAAACTTCACAAAACATATTTATTCACCAGTCATTTATCAAGTGTATGTTATGGGCATGGTGTTAGGTACCACGCAAGATTCTTCGAATACATAACATGAATATTGCATGATTTCTGAACTGCTTTTGCAGTTTAGAAAGAAAGTACAAAGAATACAGGGCATCCCCATGCAGCTCCTATGGAGGTGGCTGTAGGGCTGGGCTCAAGGGTTAGGGGATTTAGGAAGATTTGCAGCAGGGGGTGTGGTTTGAGAACAGATTTTTATGAAGAATGATTTTTATTCCCCACAGCAAGAACTATTTGTCAGGACTCCCTCCCTCTGCTTCTGGATCACAGGAAGCGCGAGCTCCAGGCCAGACAAGAATGCTATCGGTGATGCTTCTTTTCCCAAGTTTATTCTGACCTCGGCCTTAATCAAATTGTTCCTAACTCTGACCTGAGTCTCAGTCTTGGGATCCTGAATCTAGTCAAGACTCATTTAAACCTAGCCCTGCTCTAATAGTCACCTTGAGTATGGACGCAGAAACCAATATCAACAATTATCTCTGGCTGGAAATGTAGCTGTAGCTCAGTGGAAGAGCACTTGCCTAGAATGCATGAGGCCCTGAGTTTCATCCTCAGCACCCAAACAAAATAAACATACCAAAAAACACAATAACTATCCCAATATCATCAGCAAATCCATACTCAACTCCCCTTAAATGTCCCTGATGTAACCCAGATCCAATATCACAAGTGACTCTGGGCTAGTGTTTACCAACCTCAACCCATCCTCAGCCTCATCCTCAAACCCGTCGTGATCTTACAGACCCCTTTCTAAACCAGCATGGGCATTTATGCCATCCTCAAATGCTATCCTGGGGACTGGGTGTAGCTCAGTGGTATGTCCAAGGCCCTGAACGCAGCTCCATACACACTGCAAATCCTAATTTGAAGCCCAGTGCACTTGTTGAGAAAGTCCAATTCTTCTCGGTCACATACCTAGAAAATGAGTGGTCTCTGGAGTTTTAATCTGAAACCAAGTCTTTAAAATTGAAGCTTGAGATGGGTGTGCTGGTGTATACCTATAATACCAGCACCATGAAAGGCTGGCACAAAAAGATTGTAAATGGGAGCCTGGCTTGGGTGATTTAGCAATTTAGTGAGGACTTGTCTCAGAAAAGAGGGAAAGAAGGCCAGGCGTGGGGACTCACACCTGTAATCCCTGCCCTTGGGAGGCTGAGGCCAGAGGATCGCTGTGAGTTCAAGACCAGCCTGGGCTACATAGTGAGTTCCGGGTCAGTCTCAACTACATGGTGAGACCCTGTCTCAAAAACAAAACAAAACAAAACAAACAAACAACAACAACCAAAAAATAAATAAAATAAAATAAAATAAAAATGAAAATATAAAAGCTAAGGCTGTCTATCTCAAGCTTGACCTGCCATCTCTGCTTGATCTGCCTGTTTTCCTGGGCAGCTGGAAGATCTATGCTCCTGGATTCCCTCGCATGGTGGATGTCAGCAGCTTTGAGGAGATGGAATCAGACAAGAAATTTGCCTTGACCAAGACAATACCCTGTGCAGACCAGGGTGACAGGTGAGGACCGAGGCTTGGGAATGAGGTAGAGGGGAGGAAGGTAGAGGAAGGGTCAGATGGGAGGATGAGACCGGGCAGCCTGGAAGGAAGAGTTCGGGTCTATACCAAATACAGTTTCATTCAAGTGTCAGGAAAAGAGGGGACTGGGAATGGGGTCTGGCAGAGAGGGCAAAAGTGAGAAGGTTATTTCAGATCTGGAGCAGAAAGGGCAGGGGAAGAGCCAGGAGCAAGGAGGTACCTGGGGACCGGGAATGCGGGGGGCAGCACCGAGGGAAAGAATTAAGAGGAGAGGCTGCAGGTCCCATTGGTTGGTTTCTGTCTTCCTACTCCCCTTATCCCCAGCCCTGGGAATCGATACCTGCCTGGATTCCCCATGAAAATTGACATCCCATCCCTGCTGCACATGGAACCCAACACCCGCTACTCAGCCACCAAGACAGCGTCGTTGCTCTTCAATGCCATTCCTGCGTGAGACCACTGCCCTCGCTACACCCTTGCTCACTGTCCTGTCCCTTTGTGCACAGTTCACATCTCTGCTCCCCAGGCCCTCCCCTGCCCCCATTCTTCCCTCACACTCTCTCTTTTTGTCCCCCACTCTTCCTTTCTCTTGCTCCTTAGTCTCCTCCCTTCTGCCTACTTTGCACCTCTTAGAACACTTCCTCCAGCGTAGCTTGGTTCAGGGAGTATACTTGTGGGGCTGTGTCTAGTAAGACAGAGAGGCCTATCCCTTGGCTTTAAGGAGATGGAGCCAGACAACTTCAGGTTTAAGCCCAGAACCAGTATTTTTTAGCTATGTGCCCTTGATTTTTCACTTAGTCTCTAAACAATGTCCTCACTTGTTAAAAGATAAATAACATCCATTCCTACTTCATAGACTTTGAGGAAAATCAAATGAGATAATTACCCAGGACAAAATAATCTCTCAATAGGGGTTCCCTAGTAGTAGTATTTGAAAATAGCCTTTGGCCAGGAGGAATGCACAGCTTCAGTCAGGAAGCAAGAATGCAGTTAATTAGCAGTAGCAGTCTTTAGACGTTTAAGTAAACAGCTGAGGCTCCAAGTGTGACTTGGCTGGAGGGAGGAGTTCAGTTAACCCTCAAGTGAATAGAGAGGACAGGTGTCAGCTGGGTCCAAGTGGTAGCTGTGGTGGAGAGAAGAGATAAGGGAAGAGTAGGCAGGTCCTACTTACTGTCCAAACACAGGTTGGGGACCAATGGCCAACTGCTTAGGTGGGAACAGGAGCCTCAGCTGGCCAACAAAGCAGGGGCTGCTGGTGGAGGACCAGAGGCAGCCAGGACAAGTGCTTGGGCCTCATCTCCTGGACTTCTGCGCTTGGAATGATTCTCTCTGAGGACAAGTGGGACAGGAAGTGGACATGAAGGGTGAACAAGAGCTCAGGAGTGTCTGAGGTGGCTGGAGTATGCAGAAGGTCACATGTGACCCAGGCTTCAAGGAAAGAACAGGTTGCGAGCCCCTAGCAGGACTGAAGGGCCAGAAGAGCATCTGAGAAGGTACAGTGCCTTTGAGTTGGTTCCCAGCTGGAGGAGTAGGCAGAGGAGAGCCTAGAAGACCACAGCATCACCAGTGAGGGCTCTGAGAAGGGCCAGGGGGAACAGGGTGCTGCTTGGAGAGTTGAGTGTGGGGTGACTGCCCAGTGTTCTAAAGGACATTTGTGGAGGGCTCTTGCCAAGTGAAGTTCTTTTCGCTCTCCTTTATTTGCCTCCTTAACTTCTACTGTCATGGTTGAGTTCTTGGCCAGTTTTTCTCATCTCCTGGGTTTTGAGTGATGTGCACTGAGTAGATGTTTGTGCAGTGAATGAACAAATACTTCGTCGGACAGGCAGTCTTGGCCCTGGGCCTATCAGATTGCTAATCCCTCCCCTTGCCCTCTGCCTTCCCCAGTGGCTCCCAGTATTCAGGGCACATTCACATCTTTGTACATCCCACCTTATTGACTGACTGCTACAAGCCTGCCAGTTCTGGGCTCTGTTCCCTTTCCTTTGGTTCAGTGAACTTGGTGAGTGATTATTAGGAGGAGGGTGTGTTGGGGCACACACAGAGCTGAGACCTTGCCCTAAGGAGCTCACTGCTGATCGGAGGATGTTATATGTGTCCTATGTTTATAATGTAATGCAGGGAAAGGTGAGTGTTTTGTGAAAGACGCAAGGTGTGTGTTTTAGGGGAGGCCAGACAAAGCTTCATAAAGGACTCTGCATCTTAAATGAATCTAGAAGAACAGATAGACCTCATATAGTAGGAGATGGCTTTCTGATGGAGATCCAGCTCAAACAGCCCTGGAAGTAAGGGAAAGCCAATTTAATTTCAGCCACTCCCTCCACTGTAAAAAAAAAAATCACACAGTATAGACATCCACAAAGAGGGCCTATCTCTTTGCTTGCCAGCTCCACTTTCATCAGTTCAGTAGTAGACAAAGTATGCACTTGGTATAATCAGAGAGCAGGCTTGGTTGGCCTTCTTTAGAGAACAGGGTGGGAGAAAAAGCTGGAAAAGTTGGTAGAAACTGGCTGGTGGGGAATTTCATGGATTAGCCAGGCTTCGCACTTGGGGCTCTGTCCTGAAGGCCAGGGTTGGGGTGAAGGTCTGTGACAAGAATGACACTTGGAAAAGGCAGCCAAAACCCCAGTGATGGTGACTTGTCTGTACCAGGCGACCAGGGTTACCAGTCACTCCTCCCAGGAATGGTTGCATTTGAGCTCCTCAGGCTACAGAGCCTCAGTGGAGTAATAGGCTTGTTTCCTCTGTGGATTCTTAGGCACCTCTCCTTTAGAGAATGACTCCCTAGTTCTATCCGGGCTGGGGAGCTTCCAGCAGTTCCCAGCACCCATTCTCATCTTCCTCTCTCTCGCAGGTCCTTGGGCATGAAGATTCGAGGGCTGCTGGACCGCAAGCGTTCCTGGAAGAAGCTGGATGACATGCGGAATATCTTCTGGTGCCACAAGACCTTCACTACAGGTGTGCAGAGCCAGGCAGGGGATGCCTATCCTTCACCTTGCTTCAGGCTGGTCTCTTTCCTCCGGTCTCAGTCCTCTGTGGGAGACTGCTGGATTTCAGTGGCGGGTGCTCCTGGTTTCTTCAGTGGCACCTCCCAGATTCCCCTTGCAAACCCAGGCATCTCCTCTGATGGGGAGGGTAAAAATATGTCAGTGAGAATCCTGATTAGGAGCACACAATTTGCTTCCCTACTCCTACCACCAGATGTTCTGGGCTTTGGGGTCAGAAGGCCTTAGGTTCAAATCCCTGCTCTGCCACTCAAGCAGGCAAGTCTCTCAGACCCTCAGTGTCTAACATGCAGTTGAAGGCGTACCCATCTTATAAAGATACTGGGAGAAAACCTAAGTCACAGTGATGAGCATAGGTCTGGATAGGACCAGAATCTAGGAAAGTAATTGCCAGACCTTCTGGTCCCCTCTCTTGCTCCTTAGAGTATGTCACAGAGCACTGGCGTGAGGACAACTTCTTTGGGTATCAGTACCTGAATGGCGTCAATCCTGTCATGCTTCATTGCCTCTCCAGTTTGCCCAGCAAGCTGCCCGTCACCAATGACATGGTGGCCCCCTCACTGGGACCAGACACCTGTCTGCAGACAGAGCTAGAGGTGGGTGAGGACCTTGGTAGTGGGATTGATAGGAGGGAGGCAACTGGGTGGCCATTATGGACAAAGGATGAATGTGGACAAAGGCAGAATGGCCTAGGCCTGGGGACCTCACCTCCTGCACAGCCCTGTTCCTGCACCTTTCAATTTGAGCAGATGAGGACAAGGGCCAGATAGGGATTGGGATGATCTGAGAGGCCTGTTGTGGGGCCTGGAAGGTCCCAAGGTGAGGCCTGAAAAACAGGCCAGTGGAAGGGCTTCCACATGTAGCTGGAACAATCACGGAGGGCTAGGAGCTCTGAGGACACAGGGATATGTGAAGACCGGCTCTCTCTGGGGCAGCCATGCCCCAGACATTTTCACTGGGTTGGTTGATTCTCACTGTGTGTTGATTTTTTAAAACACCCTGAGGTCAGATCTCAAAGGTGGAGGTGACAGTAGGGAGGATTAGGTGTGCAGAAAGGAGGACGCTGGTTCGTTCTGGACTCTGGAGAGAGATCAGGTGAGAGGTTGCACAAGGAGAGACTCACCTGGACCTCATTCTGCACATTCTGGGAAGGGTGTGGTACCCAGCGTTGGCGCTTAGCCCAGGCATCAAAAATTGCTGAGGCCGCACTGGGGACTTAACTCATTCCTGCGGCACAGAGCCGAGAGGGAGGCGGAGTGCGGGTGCGAAGGGCGCGCTAAGCCTCTGGGCCCCTTTTCCAGAGAGGCAACATCTTCCTAGCGGATTATTGGATCCTGGCCGACGCCCCCGTCCACTGTTTAAACGGCCGCCAACAGTACGTGGCAGCCCCACTCTGCTTGCTGTGGTTGAACCCCCAGGGGGCGCTGCTGCCCTTGGCCATCCAGGTGAGCCTGGGGCGGGGCTTTGGGGGTGGGACTCGGGGGACCGACAGCGTTGAGCCTCCTTATTACTCCCGCAGCTCAGCCAAATCCCCGGGCCCGATAGCCCCATCTTTCTGCCCACGGACTCTGAGTGGGATTGGCTGCTGGCCAAGACATGGGTGCGTAACTCAGAATTCTTGGTGCATGAGAACAACACGCACTTTTTGTGCACGCATTTGCTGTGCGAGGCCTTCTCCATGGCCACGCTGCGTCAGCTGCCGCTCTGCCATCCTATCTTCAAGGTCGGTTCCACAAAGGGAAGGGACAACACTGGGTGAGGGATCCGGGTGGCCTTCTTCCTTGACTTTGGACTCACGTGACCTCATTCTGCTCGCAGCTCCTGCTTCCCCACACTCGCTATACGCTGCAGGTGAACACCATTGCCAGAGCCACGCTGCTCAATCCAGAGGGCCTCGTGGACCAGGTGTGGCCTCAACCATGGGAAAATGGCCCTTCTGGCCCTGCCCCTGAGGATGATTCGCCCCGTCCACAAGCTCACAACGGTCCCTCAATCTCCACCTGCCCCTTCCCACAAGCCCCGCCCTCTCCACTTGCTCCGCCCACAAGCTCCACTCTCGCGTTCCACCCCTTGGAGCCGCGGTTTCGCAGGCAGGGTTGCTCCAGCCGCAGCACTACACCTAAAGGATCCTGCACCAGCCAGGTTCTCGCTGCTCTGGCTTTCAGTGTATTCTTTTCTTATCAAAAATCTGAGGAGCTGTACTATGCACGTAATAGGGCCTTAACCCACGCTATCTGCACTAAGGCAGGCCCGAATAGGTGTGGACAGCTTGGTTAACAGCATAAGCTCCTGTGAGGTCCCCAGCCCTGGGTAGAGATTGGGCCATCCCGGGAGCCGAGCTGTGCTGTGTCTACAGGTCACGTCCATCGGGAGGTGCGGCCTCCTCTACCTCATGAGGACCGGTCTGGCCCACTTCACCTACACCAATTTCTGCCTTCCGGACAGCCTGCAGGCTCGCGGTGTCCTAACTATTCCCAACTACTACTACCGAGATGATGGCCTGAAGATCTGGGCAGCCATTGAGAGGTGTGAGCCCAGCAGGGCAGCCCCTCTGGCCCTACCAGGGCTGTGCTCATGCCAACTGGGGTGCTTGGGGCTGGGGATTCCAAGTGTTTGCAGTCTCCAGCCATCATAGGGGTCCCCTGTGAAATGGCTGGTAGTTGTGAGCTACAGAGGGGCTGGTACACTCGAATGGAGTGGAGCAAGGGAAAAGAGAAGGGGGGGACAGCGTGGGCAGACTCTTCCCCCTCATTCTCCCTCAGGCCCCTATGAAGGAGGGAAGCTCTGAGCCTTCCTGATTTGGGAGGGGGGATGGGACTTCAGGGAAACCGTGATGCTTGGGTTCCAACTGGATCAGGAGCCCATGGACTGAACTGCCATGGACTCTCAGTGGACTCTGGCCATCTGCCTCTTCCTAGCCCAAATAGCAGTGGGCCTTGGTGGTGTAGGCAGGTCAGGGCCCGAGGTTCCTCTAGGGGCACCAGCATCTCTTTCCTGCAGCTTTGTCTCAGAAATCGTGGGCTACTATTATCCCTGTGATGATTCCGTGCAGCAGGACTTGGAGCTGCAGGCCTGGGTCAGCGAGATTTTTACTCAGGCGTTCCTGGGCCGGGAGAGCTCAGGTATCTCTTCTCTGTTATTCCTTCCCACATCCCTATCCCCTGCCACAGGCTCTTAGTGACTGAATTCTCCACTCAATTCATTTGAATCAATTCTTATTATTATGTTTTGACTTTGAAACCCATACTATTATTGTCCCACTTAGCAAATGAGGAAATAGGAACAGAGAAGGCTGCAAAAGCAGAATCCCAGACCAGATTCGATTGTCTCCCAAACCCTTGCTTTTTGACCATGCCCTTCTGGTCTCTCCACATTTACAAAGCCACCCATTCATTCCAGCTTGCTGAGCTCTGTCAATATTTAGCATGTGGTAGGAGGCATCTCTGACTTCAAAGGATTCTGGAAACTTTTCTCATACCCTCTTGTGCCCGTTCTGCCAAGTGGCCCCTCTAATCGCTGATCTGTCTTCATTTCATGGAGTGGGCCTTGCTGCTGCCAGACTTCCTGACTCATACCTTTCACCCAGGCTTTGCTCTTCCCTGACTTCTGACACTGGCTGAGTGGCCTCTGAGAACCACCAACCCCAGAGTCCCCTCTCAGCCTCCTTTCCTTAAGCTCAGTGCCAGGCAGGTACCCCAGACCACTTTCTTTCTTTGGCCATCGCTCTGCTCCAGGGAGAATTTGGCCTTCTGACTCTCCAGCTTCTTCCTGGGTCCTAGCCATCTCCCTGTCCCAGCTCTTAGCTTGCCTTGGCTCTCTGATTCCTCTTTTTCTCCTCCCTGTTGGAATGAATCAATCTTCTGCTTCTCCTCTGTAGCTGATTTCCAGAGTCAGAAACCTCACCTCTTCCCAAGTGTGAAGGACTTTTCCTTTTCTTTTTTTAGGACATTTCTTTTTGTCCTCTTACTCTTGCCGTTAAGACCAGCACATGAAAACTACAAGTTAACATTTATAGAGTGACTTCTGGCCTTGCTGAGGTTAAAGTGGTTCAGATGTCCATCCTCCAGGTCTCCAGCCCTGGTCTGAGACATCTATCTATGGGAGTATAGCTTTCAGGTGGCTTAGTGCTTCTGGTTGCACACAGAGGACAGTGGGGGTGCAGGTGGTGTCTCAGGTCATCTGCAGATAGAACAGCTGTTGTAGTCCTAACTGGTAGGCTCAGAGCTTTGCCTTGCTTTTAAACAAAAGTTTCAAGCATACTGGACAGTAGAGAATATGACCAAAACCAGTTTACCCACCCACTAGATTTAACACTGGGCAACATGTTGCCATATTTGATTAATCTGTTGCTTGTGTTTATTGCTGAAGCCTTGTAAGGTAAATTGCAGTCATCTTATTGCACCTTTTGTCAATATGCCTTTTTAATAATGACATTTTCCTACACCCATAATCCCAGCACTCTGGAAGGCTAAGGCTTGAGCTCAGTCTGAGCACCTGAGCAATTTAGAGACTTAGAGAGACCCTGTCACAAAAAAAAAAAAGTCATTCTTCTACACATCACATTACTGTCATTACACTTAATTTTCTTTGAGGTCCAGAGGATGGAACCCAAGGCTTTGTACTTCATGTACTCAGCTACTGAGTTACACTCAAATCCCATAACAAAACTGACAATAAAAAAATTTTTTTTTTTGTACAGGGGATCAAAATTGGGACCTTGGACTTGTGAGGCAGGTGGCTGAGCTAAACCCCCAGCCCTGACAATAATTTCTAATGTAATCTTCTCTTAACATTTTTCTTTGTTTGTTTATTTGAGACAGGGTCTCACTATATAGTTGATCTGGAACTTACTACGTAACCCAGGCTGGTCTAGCGCTCACAGTGATCCTCCTGCCTCAGCCTCCCAAGTGCTGGGATTACAGGCATGCACCACCACGCCCCACCTACCCTTAACATTTAAAAAAATTTAAATTTCTTGTGGTTTGGGGGATGGAGTCCAGGGTCTCACCATTCTAATCAAGCGCTGTACCACTGAACTACACCACAGCCCTATACTTAACATGGCTGACAATAATCTCCTGGGTCACCCTCATATCTAATACATGCTCAAATATCCCCACTTGTCCTTTGTTCTCCCAGTTGGTCCTATTGACCAAAAGCCAATCAAGGACTGTATTGATCTTAGCCAAAAGGCCCAAAATGATTCAAGGACCATATTTTATTTGTTTGGTTTGACTCTAAAGTCACTTTTAACTTATAAGAGTATCACTTCCTCTTTGCTTTATTTTATTAAAAAATTTATTAGTAGATGTTTACAGCATATAATGACTACTTTTATCATGGGGAGTTGGTACACATACATAATACATCTTAATTCTTTTTTAATGCATCTTAATTATTTTTCCCCCCTACTTCTCCATCCTCCTTCCAACTCTTGGTCCCCTTCCCATTTGCAGAAGCTCTATTTTCTTTTTCTTCCTCCTCCTCTACATCCCCTTCCCTTCCTCTCCTTTCTTCCTCCCTACCTTCCTCTGCTTTTTAAAAATCACATGATAAGGACTTGATTTTTTTTTTTTTTTTTTGGTACTGGGAATCAGACTCGGGACCTTGTGCTTGTGAAGGAGGCGGCAAAACCACTGAGCTAAATCCCCAGCCCCTTGACAAGGACTTATGGAAGAGCCTTGGACTAGTTGCTCTGCGGAATTTCTCACTTTCTGAATTTATCTGATTCCTTTCTTATGGCGTCATCTTGTTCCTCTGTCTCCTGTGTTTTTGTAAGCTAGAAGGAGTATCTAAGTGTTGCACACTTTTATCAAGAATATTTCTCAGGTGATGCTCTCTGCCTTCTGTGTTGATTCATCTGGGAGGCGCATGAGGTCAGGTTGTCTCACTGGTTGAGATGCCAAGAGTGATTTCTAGGTTAAAGAGTTATCAGCCAGATCGCTCTTGGATTTTTTTAAGGGTAACCTTTCCTTGTGTTTTGTAAACTCATGGTTAGTCCTCAACAGTCCTGAGCCAATTGTGTCTCCTGACTGAGAAATTTGTTTCCTATTTAAGACCCAGACTGGGACCTAATACTGTTGGTTCAACTCTCCTGTTTTGTTTATGCAGTACTGGGGATTGAACCCAGGCAGCAGTGAGCTACATGCCCAGCCCTTTTTATTTTTTTAAAGTTTTGATACAAGGTCTTTCTTGCTAAATTGCCCAGGATGCCCTCAAACTTTCCACCCTCCTGTCTCAGATTAGCTGGGATTAGTGGTGTGTACTTCCATGCCCAACTTTCACCTATCTTACTATATTCAGTTTATCTCTGACACATCAGAACATCTTCAGACTGTCACACCTCTTCCCACTAGTACAACCTTATTTTGAATTCATATATTTAAAAGTAAAACAAACAAAAAATAAAAAAAGCTTCACATGGCTTACCGGCCACACAGCTAAAAAAAACAAGGTAAAACACACTTATTAACTTGTCAGTCTCCCTTTAACCTCCATATTATAAAGGGAAATAATAATATGAACTATAGAAAAATTCCCACAGATAATCTGATCCCTTCTTTACTGTATTATTTCCAGCTTCCAAGTTTAGATAGTTGACCATGAATAGAACATTCCTGGGCTGGGGATTTAGCTCAGTGGCATAGCACCTGCCTGGCAAGCGTGAGGTCCTGAGTTTGATCCCTGGTACCAAAAAAAAAAAAAGGAACATTCCCATTCACTCCCAAGCAGATGTCCCATCCTTCCTCCAACCTCTCTCTCTGCTCAAGTCTTGAAGCCCCTTTCAACTCGTGTTCCTACCTCTGTCTCCTAAATCCAGCTTGGTAATGAGTTCCTATTGTTCCAATCATTTCCCATTGTCACCACCCTAGTAATCCTGATTGTGGCAGTTACTTCTCAGCCAGCTGCCCTCTCCCAGCCCCTGGCTGCTACCTTGCCAGGCCTGCCCAGAAATCAGATGCCCCAGTGTATTGCTGCAGCCTCACCTCCAGTTAGGTCCCCTTCTTCACCTTGTCTATGCCCTCTGCCTTTCCACCTTTCCACTCTGGCTCCTTATCCTCTCATGCATTTTTGCTTCACTCAACCAATAATTACTGCTTTCTTAATATTTATTAAGTGTTGGTCTAGATGCTGTCATTTCACAGTGAACAAACAGACAAACATCCCGGCCTTCAAACAAGCTTCACATTCTTTCAGAGAGACACAGATAATAAACAGGCAAAGATGTCAAGTGGTTAAGAATGCTAGGAAGGAAAACAAAGCAGCATACGAGGGGTTATTTCAGACAAGTGGTCCAGGAAGGCCTCTCTGAGGAGATGATACCTGGACAGAGACCTGAAGGAAGTAAAGGAACTCACTGTGTGAATAACTGGGATAAGAGTGCGGAGTCAGAGGCGCAGTACATGCACAGGTCCACAGGTCTGGGTGTGCTGGTGTGTTTGAGGAAGAGCAGGAAGACCTATGAAGCTTGAGTAGGGTAAGTGAAGGGAAGAAAAGTTAGGACAGAAATGAGAAGGGGCCAGGACCAGATCAGTAGGGCCGTGGTAAGGTAAAGTGAGAGAGGAAGCTCTTAAAATGTTCTATCGAAGAATGACATTATCTGATTTATCACTTGTCTGCTCGGTGCCGGAGATCTAACCCAGGGCCTCATGCATGCTAGTTGAGTGCTCTACCACTGCGCTACATCCCCCACCCCTGATTTATGATTTAAAGGGCCACTCTTGCTGTCATGAGATGAATTGGCTATAAGGGACAAGGGTGGAAGTAGGAGGATTCATTCAGGAGAGAGATGGTGGCAACGGCAGAGAGGAGGAAATGGAGATGGTGCGGAGAAGCCTCGCTTCTGGAAGTCTTTGCTGATGTGTGGAGTGGGAGGGAAAAGATGCCTGTGGTCTGAGTGACTGCATGAGGAGCACAGTTGCCCATCCATATCCACAGGGAACTAGTTTGGGGACCCCCACAGATGCCAAGATCCTCAGATGCACAAATCCCTCTTGTAAAACGGTGTCATATTTGCAGAGAATGGATTCACAGCTTCCCACACACTCTAAATTATTTTTAGGCTACTTCTAATACAAGGTAAATACCTTGTAAATAGCTGTCACACAGTGTAGTTTAGGAAATAGCAACAAGAAAAAAGTATATACATGTTTAGTATGTCATAATTTTCCCCCAGATATTTAGTATTTCCCAAATATTATGATCTGAGGTTGGTTGACCCCACAGATGAGGAACCTGCAGCTATGAAGGGCCAACTGTACCGAAGGAGAATGACTGTAAGGGAAGGCCAGGTTGGGGAGTGTAAGAGTAGGAGTGGACGTTTGGTTTTGCAATGGCAGGTTTGAGGTGTCTTGCAGATACCCAGGTGGGAAGATCAGGTAAGCCGCCGCAGAGTTATGCTCACTGCTGTGTCTAGGGGTTCAGAAACGAGGCACAGCTGGGGATGTGAGTTTGGGGTCAACAAGTGATTGGGAGGTGGGTAAAGCCAGGGACTTGGATGAGGTCAACATGGCACAGACAGCAAGAATGAGGCCTGGGCTCTTCTTCCTCCGCCCCGACAATGCTTTTCTCTGTCATCTTTTGAGACAAGGTCTTGCTTTGGAGTTCAGACTGGCTTTGAGCTCACTATGTAGCCAGGCTGGCCTTGAACTCATGGCAGTCCTCTTGCCTCAGCCTCTCGAGTGCTGCGATTACAGGCCTGTGCCACCATGCTCACTAGGCTCAACTGATACTCCTGTCTCAGCTTCCCAAGTAACTGGGACTATAGGCATGAGCCATTGTGCCTGGATTTTGTCATCTTTCTTTCATTTCAATATCACCCATCTCTCAGCTTGGGGAGGAACCTTCTCTTCCTCTAGGAAGGGTTCTTCTGACCACTCTACCTCTAGGACCACTTTCTATCCTACCTGCCTTCTCTCCTAAGAGCCAAGCGCTGGCACCTGGGGTTCTTTCTGATCGTTATGTGCTTTTGAGTAACACACTGTCTCACTAAACCCAGCAGAGGGTGATCCGCTATTGGGTACTTGGACTGATCTTGGTAAATTGAGTAGAATTAAATAATTAAATACTAAGAGGGGCTGCAGTTAAAAGTGCCTTGGAGGTCAGGGAGAGGGAGCTTGGTGCTTGGCCTGACCCTGGCTCCATTATGAGCCCTGGCCAAGAACCTTTTGGTCCCATTGCAATGCCCACCTCTGAGACTCCCTTCAGAGACCACAGCCCTTGGTGATGACTACCCCTGACTTCATCCCAACCATAATCTTAAAGACAGTTAGTTATAGCCAGTATCTAGCTCTTACTCCCTCAGTCTTTCCCTGCAGTGAGCCCCACCCTGAGCTGGCCCTAGGAATTCAGTACCTCCCTCCACACCCTCCTCTTCCCCACATTCAGGATTCCCAAGCCGGCTGTGCACCCCAGGACAGCTGGTGAAGTACCTGACTGCAATCATCTTCAACTGCTCCGCCCAGCATGCTGCTGTCAATAGTGGACAGGTGAGTCTGCAGAGGAAAGACCTAGGGGTATCAGGCCATGAAAGGTGTTAGGTTTGGCAATGGACATGAGGCCGGAAGTCTGAGAGCAAGGGTGGGTCGGGGTCAGGGTTGAAATGGTGCCTGGGTGGAGTGAATGGCCCCTGTTGAGTGATGGCTGGGTGGAGCTGAGTCCAAGGTTGAAATGGCAACTCAAATTGGAGTTATGTTGAGAGTAGAATTTGTGGGCTCCTGTCTTGGTTAGTGCTGGGTCAGGTGGACAATCAGGTTGTTCTGTATGGCATGCCAGCCCAAGTCCCTTTTCTAGGATTACCTCCTCTCTGGGTCCTCCCTCCGTGGTGACTCACTCCACCCAGTCCTGGAACACTGGGTGGGGAATGACAGGGGTGAACTGGGCTCCTGCCCCGCTCTGGAACTTTCCATGATGCCCTCATTTCCCAACTGTGAGACTTGGGATAGTAGAGGTGAGGTCAGGAATGGTGAGGGAGCTGGTCCTTGCCTTCCAGCAGCTCTTTGATCCATGTGGGGTGGGGGTCTTTACAGCATGACTTTGGGGCCTGGATGCCCAATGCCCCATCATCCATGAAGCAGCCCCCACCTCAGAATAAGGGGACCACTACCCTGAAGAGTTACTTGGAAACCCTCCCAGAAGTGAATGTCACCTGTAACAACCTTCTCCTCTTCTGGTTGGTCAGCCAAGAGCCCAAGGACCAGGTGTGTATATGGGGGTGGAAGTTTGGGGTGGATTTTGCAGGGTCTGGGCATTGGGGCTGCTGATGGTAGGTGTTTCATGGGGACTTGAGGACTGACTGTGGGTATTTGTGCCCACTGCTGAACTGCTTGGATTCTTTAGTTTTTTCAGGAAATAACACTTGCTCTCCAAGGACATATGTTGAGGGAAATGCTAACTTCATGAGTAGATCACAACGTCCATCCAGTTCACAAGTTTAATCATCCATCTGTTCATCCAATCACTCATTTATCCATCAATCATTCATGCATTCATCCAAACATTAAGCAAACATTTCTGAGTAAACCCCTATGTGTCAGCGCAGCACCAAACACCAGGCATATAAAATTGAGTGAGACCTGCCTGCCTTCAAGAAGTCTATGATCTGGTAGAAGAGACATGTAGACAAAGAAGGGCACCACAGTGTTGTAGGAAGTTCCTATATGTTAATTTCTCCACACTGGGTAGGATGAGCCATGAGCCTTGTCCACAAGCTTCCATCTAGTGACAGAGGTAAGAACTAGGCCCTGTAGAACCTAAGTAGGTCTGGGAAAACCCTAGAAGGCTTGGTGGAGGAAGTGACATCTAAGCTGAAACCTGTGAGTCAAGTAGAAATTGGGTAAAGGAGGGATCAGGGTTGGTTTCTAGGCAGAAGGAAGGATGCAGCCAAGGAGTGGAGGGGAGAGTCACTCACCATGGTTCAGTGCAGCAAAATGGCAGGTGGAGAGGAAGGTAGGGCTTTGTCTGCATAGTATTCACTGAGAGGACAATGGGAGGGTCACTTAGGACCTTTAAGCCAAGATGACATCACTTAATTTGTTTTGCTTAGCATGTTCCTGTGCCTGGTGAATGGGTGAAAAGACAGGTTGGAGGTAGGAGAGAGAAGGCGGTTAAGTAGCTTTAGGCCAGGTGAACAGAGCTTTCATCACTGATTATGGTTACGGCCATTCACACATTGTGGTGCCAGTCATGCCTCTGCCTGCTGGTCCTGGTCACAGTTCTCTGACATGTTAACATCCTCCTTTCTCATGACTGACTCCATCTGGTGCTACAAAGAGGGCAAATGCTTTCCTAGCAAGGTGTTTTGTTTGTGTTTTTGTCATTTTGGAGATGGGGTTGCCCTCATTATGTTCCGCAGGCTGGCCTCAAACTTCTTGGCCCAAGTGATCCTTTCTCCTCAGCCTCCTGAGAAGCTGGGGCTACAGGTGCATGTCACTATGCTTGACTTAGAAAAGGTTTTATGTATTTTTAAATTTTATTGTGGGCTAGGTGTCTTAGTTACTTTTATCATTGCTCAAACAAAAGACCTAACACCTGAAGTTAAAAGGGGAAAGGTTTATTTAGCTCACAGTTCGTAGAGGCTTCCATAATCGGCTGGGTGGCAGAGGGGCAAAGGTAGCAAAGCAACAAGAGATCTTAACAGCCTTTTTCTGCTCCTTTTTTCTTATCCTGACTATTGGGGTTAGGGTGGTGCCAAACAAATCAGTGTACTAATTTAGTAATCACATGCCCTTATCCCCAGCATCACACACTCTAGATTCAACCACCTCTGAGAAAGCCACCTATGACTGAATGAGGCTTTGGGGGGAGATCTAGACCCAAATCACAAGACTGGGGATTGAACCCAAGGCCTTTGCACTGAGCTACAGCCCCTGTCCTTTTAAAATTTTTTATTTTGAGACAAGGCCCCACTAAGTTGGTTAGTTGCCTGGGTTGGGCTCAAACTTTCAATGCTCTTGGCTCAGGCTCCTAGAGTGTTGGGATTATAGGTGTGTGCTACCATACTTGATCCTCCTAGGAAATTTTATCTACTATCCTCCATCCTGGGAATGGTAGGAACTTGTTTCTGAATCCTACCCCTTTCTGTGCCCGGAGGGACAAGTAGGCAAGAGGACAAGGGTAGAGGGTTCCCTCCTCATTAGCCAGTGAAAAGTTTAACCTGGAAACTTACACAACAATAGCAGCTGTCACTTATAGAGGATCCATCCTGTCTCAGTTATTAAATCAGATTCTTTATGCATACTATTTAAAAATATAAAGCAAATAAATATATTTAACATGCTTAATATAGTGCTGACAGATAAGTGTTCAATACATGGTGAGAAAACAGGTTCAGAGTGATCAACAAATTTCTCACCATCACATAGCTGGGAAGCAACAGGCTTTTTTTTTTTTTTTTTTTTTGGGTACCGGGGATTAGAACTCCAGTCCTTGCGCTTGCAAGGCAGGCCACTGAGCCACTGAGCTAAATCCCCCAGCCTTTCTTTTTTCTTTTTGGAGACAGGGTCTCACTATGTAGGTGAGACTGACCTGGAACTCACTATGTAGCCCAGGCTGGTCTCTAACTCATAGTGATCCTCCTGCTTCAGCCTCCCGAGTGGTGGGATCACAGGTGTGCACCACCACACCTGGGTTTGATTCGTCTGTCACACTTCTGTGTTCTGCTCTTTGATGACTACACTATAGTTTTAGGAATTAGATATGAGTCTCATAAGTGAGAACTGGATCTGTGAAAAGAACAATAATATAAAGAAACTGTAGATAATTTTATTCGAGGAAAAATAACTGTGTATACACAACATTAGGAATGGGATGGGGCACACAGCCAAATACAGAGGGCTTTAAAATAATAAGAGAATACTACTTACAGTTTTATGCATGAAAATTTGGAAATCTAGATGAAATAAAGATTTTTCTAGGAAAACAACTGAAACTTCAGAGGAGATGAAAACCAAACATAAATGTAAGAGATTATGATGAAAAGCAAACATAAAAGGCTATCAATATCTGCTTCTTTCAAACCATTAAGGCGCAAGTAATTCCTGAGTCTTTCAAGCTCTTTGAAAGCCCAGATAAAGGTGGACTCTTCCTGAATCATTTCACCAAATTTCAGAATGCTGATTCCAGTACTGGCAAGGGCAGGAACCTAGAAGAAGGGAGGTGTTCTCAGCGAGGGCTCCAGTCCCAGGTCCACACTCTGCTCCCAAACCCTGTGTGATCTTGGACATGTAATTTAGCCCAAGTCTCATTGTCATTATTTGTAAAATGAGAATGGTAAGCGTATCTGTTTTAAGGGCCGTGGTGTATGGTTCGGGTAGAGGGCTTTTCTTCGAGCTGTTGTTAAGAAAATGAAGCCAGGTGAGGAGATGCATCTCAGAACTCTGGGAGGCTGAGGCAGGAAGAGTCTAGCCTGGACAATTTAGCAACTTCACAAGGCCCTATCTCAAAATCAAAAATAAAAAGTGCTGAGGCTGTAGCTCAGTGTTAAGGCCTTGTATTCAATAGCCAGTACTGCAAAAAATTAAAGCAATAAATCAGACAGTGAAAGCCAATATTGTATAGTAAAACAATAATGTGCCATGATGAAGTGTAGTTTATTCTAGAAATGAAATGTTAGATCAAACTTTTGAAATGTAGCAATGTAATTTATTACATCAGTAAAGAATGATGCTATATAATCTTGGTACATGCTGGAGAAGCATTTGATCAGTGTGATCAGTCATTACTAAGAAAAGCTCAAAGCCCCTAAAGGGGTTTTGATAAAAGTATATTTAAAGGCCAGGGATTTAGCTCAGTGGCACTGTGTCTGCCTTGAAAGCATAAGGTCTAGAGTTCAAGCCCCATTACAGCAAAAAAAAAAAAAAAAGCATATTTAAGACAACTCTGGGACTAGGGGTGCTGCTCAGTGGTACAGTAGAACACTTGCCTGGCATGTGTGAGGCCCTGGTTCCATTCCCAGCACCATGGAGGGGAAAATAAAATGACACTATACTAATGGTGAAATAATAGAGGCCTCTTCATGAAAATCAGGGACAGGAAAATAGTGCCTACTATGACTGCAATTATTTAACACTGTTCTGAAGGGCCTTGCCAATGCAATTAAAGCAAACACATTTTTAGCCAGGTGTAGTAGTGCACATCTGTAATCCCAGCACTCAGGAAGCTGAGGCAGAAGGATCACTGTGAGTTTGAGACCAACCTGGGCTACATAGTGAGTTCCAGGTCAGTCTCAACTACATAGTGAGACCCTGTCACAAACAAACAAACAAACAAAAAACACATTTTTTTAAACATCAGCAGTATTGATAGCGCAGTATTGCATGAAGGTTATGTTAGATGGAAAGGTTGTGCTAGTTAGGTGGGGCCAGTGCATTACGACAGTGGAGTGGCTTATGATGGGATCATGAGGGAGGGATAGTCCCCTCCATAGGATGGCATCCACTGAAGGCCATTGTGGCATGTGTTGCTTGTGGCTGGGTATACTGTAAAGTGTGATGGTGACTTTGTTGGCAAAAATGATTATGTGATTGATTGGAAGATACCTCAGAACCAGATGCTGGCTGTCTTCAGAGGTTGAGTTTTGTGAAATTGTGTGGTAATAGGTGTATTCTTTGGCCTATTTGCTAGAGTGTCTGTGTTAATATCAGCTGTGTGATGAATGGGGTTGTATGCTTTTAGTTCAGAGTAGATTAGGCACTAGAAAGGGGCTTTATGAATTTTCCAGTTCAATCCATCTACTTTCAGATGCAGGAATTGAGTTTCAAGGAGTCACAGTAACACACAAAAGATTTTCAGCAAAAGGGAGAGCTGAATTTAGGTTGGCTGTCTCCAAAGTCACATTCTTTCCAGGCTGTGTGGCTTTGGATGTTGGGGGGTGTTCTCCATTAGACTGTGTGGAATGGTAGATTGGTAGTATGATTTTAATGACTGGTTGGGGCATGCCTTTTGAAGCCACATTGATTGAGTTTGTTGCCATCCATGGTCCTACATTATTCTCCATCCCATTTTGAACGTTATCCTGACCTCCCATCTGATTCTCTCCCAGAGGCCTCTGGGCACCTACCCTGATCAACACTTCACAGAAGAAGTGCCACAGCGGAGCATCGCTGCCTTCCAGAGCCGCCTGGCCCAGATCTCAAGAGACATCAGGGAGCGGAACCAGAGCCTGCCACTGCCCTATACCTACCTGGACCCCCACCTCATTGAGAACAGTGTCTCCATCTAACTTCCACCTCAGACCACTTCAGAAGCGAAGGAAGGTCCAAGCATGAAGAAGCCCAGTTTATCAGAGTTTCCCAGACTTTTCCCTCCTCCCTATTCTCAGCTTGAATCTTCCTCTCCCTATATAGAGACTTTTTCCAGCCAAGATGGCTCTAGCTGTGTCCTGAGCTGTGAGGGACCAGTCTAGCAGTGTCCATGGTGAAAACCATTGACTGAAGTCCAATGCTCAATAGGCCACCGGAAAAGCAAAGAACCTCTATAGCCTTTGCCCCATTTTTGGGCAGCCTCCTATTCCAGCCTCTTGTGGGAATCTACTTCCTTTTATTGGGATGCCCAGCCTTGATCTCCAAGTTTTCCTTCCCAGTCCTCCCCATTCCCACACCTCTTCCTACTGTGTCATTTTGATTCTTCTTCCCTGTAAGCCTAGGAGCAGCCAACCTGACTTCCTTCTGTGGAAAAGCCTGGAAACTGGCACAGAAGGGATGTGTGTCTGAATCTGTCAGGTCCCCTTTGCCCCTGACACCTTGAAGGTAGGGGAAGAATTGGAGCCCAGATCTTCTGGACATCTAGCTAAGGTTCTGGGGGATAAGTTCCCTGGCCTGGGCATGGATGTGGGGTCTCTTTCCAGCTCTTGTTCTACCTCCTTCTCATCTCATGTTTTCCTTTTTGCCTTTGAACCCAGCGAGTTCAGTAAAAGTTGATATATTTGGCTCCTATTTCATTTTTCTGTTTTGATGATATTTGTGCTTGTGTGTGTGCATGTGTGTGAGTGGGGGTGGTTGTGGGGAAAGAGCCAGGAAGGTAGGAGCAGTGAGTCCATCAGTTCCGTGTTCTGGAGACAGGTAGCATCCCAGCTTAACCCTCCGCCCAGCTGAGCCCTGCATTTTTGCCTTCACTGCCTAGAGCCTGTCATTTGGAAGTGAAGGAACACCTGAACTCAAGGGCCAGGTAAAAGCCCTGGCATTTTGCAAAGCCTCAGAATCTGGCTTCAAGGTGTGGTGGTTGTTAGTGTCGCCACTGAAATCCAGTTCTACTCCTGGACACAGAAAACTTATGCCTGGCCCTCTCATGGGTGGGTGGAACCACAGGATAAGTCTGGGCTGAGTTATGTGCAGAAGAGGTGCGGCCATGTCCAGGCTGGTGTGAGGCCCTCTGGAGTGTGCTCTGCCTCCCCACTCTGGAAGCTGTGCCGGATGCTATTCATCAGCCTGTGTGTCTGAGGGATAGAGTAGAGGCCTGCTGCATAGGTAGATATGGAACTGAATAAGAAAGATACTTTTTATTGGTTGAAGCAGTTCAGATTTCAGGACTGTTCACTCTTACACTTTCCTGCCTCAATCTAGAGTCTTATTTTTTTCCCTTCAAGCCAGGCAGCCCTTACAAATAGAAGTCTGTTACCACTTGTGGTGGCACACACCTGTAATCCGAGGACTTAGGAGGCTGAGGTAGGAGGATCATTGCACATTTGAGGCTAGCCTGGGCTACATAATGAGTTCAAGACCCTCCTGAACTACATAGTGAGATCCTGTCTCAGAAAACAAAACAAAACAAAAAAAGAGGTCCATGTAGACCTCAACTGATCCATCCACATTTTCTCTCTTCATAGTTTTCCAGTGCTTGACCAAACTCTAGTCATCACCTCTCTGTGGCCAAAGTCACAGAGTCTTTGGACAATGTCAGGGTGACTGTTCATCCATATAGTGCTGGTGTAGGCCGGGGATTTAGCTTAGTGGTTCTGCCACCTGCTTCTCAAGCGTAAGGTCTTGAGTTCCATCCCCAGGACCAAACCAAACCAAACAAAACAGAACATATGGTGCTGGTGGCAGTGGAACCAAGCAGCTTTAGTGTCCTCCCATGACTCTCTCCGGAACTTCATATGGCCAGGGGCTTTGCTAGATTGGGCAGGTCTCAGCCCACGCTGGGCCATTGTCAATGTCCCTTTCTTCAGTCAGTGGGGGTGCCCCAGCTGCCAGCATTTAAGAAAACAGAAGCACTCACTGTACAAACTCCAGATCTGACTGCAATTCCTAACTGAACTGCTATCCCAGACACCTGGCTATGTTGACATTTTGGAGCAGCCGCCCTTCCTCAGACCCAGGAAAACACTCTGCCCATCTGTATTCCCCACCCGCTCTTTATCCCCAGAATCTCCTCTCTGTTCAGTCAGCTCCTTCTCCCTTTAAGGCAGTGGGTACCTACTAAAGGTTAGATTGTCACTTTCTGCATCTGTGACTCAAGGAGAGAATGCCCAGGTCACTGTGCAGTATTAGGTGTCTTTGGGAATCTCTCACCTGCAGATCCCAGCCTAAGAGTTTATTTAGCTCAAATCACATTTTTTTTTTTCACCTTAGAACATAAAGGACAAAGATACTCAGAGGCACCCCCTTGTGGCCACTTGGGCTGTGGTCAAGGCTGCAAACGTGGACCCCTTTAAAAAACGCCTCACACACATGTAAATACCGAATAGTTTCTCTGGTGTGAATAAACTGTAATAGTACATAAGATCCTAATGAGATAACTGACACTGAAATGGGAAGAAAAGCGCTAAAGGTGTAGGGAAAGTGGGAAAGGTAGGGGAAAGGTAATAAGGGAAAAATATGAGAAAATGAAAAAAATGGAAATAAAGTGTTTTTAAATGGGGAGGGGAGAAGGGGGTGAAGGGAAGGCAGGGACAGGGGAAAAAATGAGAACCAAGACCACCTGTCATGTAAAGGTACAAGATCCCAGTGATGAATGTAACTGTGCTGTATATGTAAAATGTACCAATAAACTCAATAAAAGAAAAAAAATCTATTCACTTGATTTGAAAAAAAAGAAAAAAAAAACTGGCCTTGAACAGGGCACTGCTTAGGCAGCCCGTGTCAAGAAAAGCACAAGTAATTATTAGAAGTCATGCTATCCTAAAAAATGCTCCCAAGCCAGAGAGGGCAGGGCAAATCATCGGCATCTGGTTTTCCAGAAAGTCAGCTTGGAGGGAAATTTATTAGGATGACACACCCAGCCGCAGGTAGGACTTCTGCCCTGACTCAGGAGACGTCTGACAATGGGATGTGGGGAAAGGCTCTCATCAGGCTGCTATGGCAGCCTCATCAGAGTGCGTGCTCTGGACCCCTCCAGGCTTTTCCATCATCTGAAAGGTGACTGGTCCAGTGCAGAACCTGCCAGCCCCTTTCCCCAGCTGATGTTGGACAAGTTCTTCATCTTAGTGCTTCAAATCTGTCAGTTAAATGGGAGGGACAAGAAGACCTGGAAAAGTCCTTCTTGTGTTGACATTCTGGCATCTATGTGTGTCTTGGTTCCTGTTTCCAAGTCTATTGTTGACTTTGGGGAAGTGGCTATGAACTCTCCAGGCAAGACCCCTGGTTCTCTTGACTTCCAGGGGGTGGAGAGAGACAAAAACCCACATCAACAGATACACCTTTCAGATGATGCCAGTGCAGTCAGGAGATATGGCCAGGCAGGTGGTGCTGGTGAGACTGGGCAGGGGGACACTGTGCAGCGCTAGGGAGGTCTGTCTGAGGAGAGGATGATAGAGCTGAGACCCAGGGGGCGAGAATGAACTGATCTTGAAACACCATGGCGCGGGGAGGGGGGCTGTTAGAAAACAGGATAGGCAAATGCAAAGGCACACCTTCAAGAAGCAAAGGGCAGCCAGGAAAGGGGATTGGGTCAAGAACAATGCCATAGTCCATGCTGACTTTGGATTTGATCCTGGGGACGATGCCATTTTAAGCCCTGGTGAATTTTAAGAAGGCGAATAACCTTATTTGATATTATATGTCCTAGAGGATGGGGCCCGAGGGGTTGCTCCCTGCAGTGAGGACTTGGCTTCCTTCCAGTGTGGGTGGGCATCATGAGCCAGCTCTACAAGTGTGCATCAGTCCCAGGGGCCTCTCAGGTTCCCCGGGTCCCGCCCCTGGTCCAGGAGAACCAGTTCTTCAGTGAGCACCTACCCAGAGTTATGTGCTCATGTGTGGGTCATAACTGGGGAGTGTCCACATCCATATGCCTAATCCATCCATGGCCCCAGACCCAGTCCTGGCCCTACTCACATCAGCACATGGCCCACACCCACCTCCATTTCCCTTAGGAACCTAAGTCCCAATCCATACTTGAACCTTGATCAAACCCCAAGTAGCCACTTGGCATTTTTGGGAAAGGGATTGGCTGCTAGTGGCTCTGGAGATGCAGAGAGGATGTGAGGGAAGCAGCTATGCTCACTTTAATCCCTTTCTCTACCTTGGTCCCCTTCCTAAATCCTCAAAGCCCTCTCTACCAGTCCTCCAGGCCTCCAGTGTGTCCCTGCCCCCTCCTCACCCCCCTACACTGAGCTGACCACTGGATCAGTAAGGTTAATGGTGGACCTCTCACCCCAAATACCCTAAGACCATGTATTTCCTAGGGGCCTGGCTGCACCATTTCCCAAGTTGCTAAGCCTCTATTACCCCCTCCCCCACCTTGCTCCTCACTATGCCTTAGCAATCCTCTGGGGCACAGTCTCCAGAATAGGGGAGTGTCTAGGAAGCAGGAGGCTTGAAGAATTTAAATGAAATTAGCATATAGAGATGCAGATTTGCATATCTGGGCTCCCAGCATCTCCCAGGAGACATTAGGAGGCTAAGCAGAGCCCAGAGGGTGGGCGTGACTAGCCTGACAGCTCTTGTTCTCAGCTCCGGATGGCACTGCACCCAGGGAAATGAGCCGGCTGCTAGTCACCCAGAGATTGGGCCTGACCCTCATCCTCAGTATTCTCCCAATTCTGCTTCCATTTCCTTAACTCCTCTCTCCGCCTCATGTCACTCTCTGAGGCTTAGACCAATTTAGCTCCTTCGGATTGTCATCCTAATTCCAAACCCTTCTTGACTGAATCAATCACTAACCCTGGCCTTTTTATTTTTATGTACCCACTCAACCATTAAGAATCATGTTTTAGCCAGGCGTGGTGGTGCACGCCTGTAATCCCAGCACTCGGGAGGCTGAGGCAGGAGGATCGCTGTGAGTTTGAGACCAGCCTGGGCTACACAGTGAGTTCCAGGTCAGTCTCAACTACATAGTGAGACCCTGTCTCAAAAAACAAAAACAACAACAACAACAAAAAAATCATGTTTTGAGAGCCTCCTGGGTACCAGATAGATGCCAGGAGACGGAGAGAAAACCAAACCAAACTGTGGGCAGTCCAATTTAGCTGGGAAAGCAGACATCAATAAAAAATGTCAGCTATAGTGCATAGCAGCCATTGATAAATTTCTTTTGTTTTATTTTTTTGAAAAAGCAATTAAGGTCCAAAGGCAGAGGAGGAATTAATCTGTTTCAACAGGTAGCTGTGTAAAAGCATATGGAAAGGTCCTGGGCTGGGAAGGACCTGACCTCACTTCTTTTAGGTCTGTACTCAGAAGTCCATCTCCCAGAGGGCTCTGCCCTGGCCACTCTGAATCTAAATTTTGCTTTATTAGCCTTTTTGTTTTCTTTTGCTTTTAAAAATTTAATTAATTTTGTGTCACTGGGATTGAATTTACGGCCTTCACACTGAGGTATTATATCCCTAGCCCTTTATTTATTTATTTTTTTGAGACAGTCTGGGTATATTGTTAAATTGTCCAGAATGGGCTTGAACTTCTGACCCTTTTGTCTCTGCCTTCCAAAGTGCTGGGATTATAGGCATGAGCCACTGTGCCTGCTC